TGTGAGTAATATATGGAATATTACTCAGCCATAAAAAAGAATGAAATCTTGCCATTTGAGACAACATGGATGGACCTAGAGGATATTATGCTCAGTGAAATAAGCCAGACAAAGAAAAATAGCATATGATTTCACTTATATGTGGAATCCAAAAAACAAAATAAACAAAACAGAAACAAATTCATAGATACAGAGAAAATATCGACAGTTACCAGATGTTAAGTATTGTAAGGATCAGCAGGATCTGTTGTAAGTTATGTAAATGTTGAGCCACTATGTGGTACACCTGAAACCAATATAACGTGGTATGTCAACTGTCATTTTTTCAAATGTCCATAGGTGGCCCTACACAGCAAATTTTGTTTTTAAAAGTAAATGATTCATGGAACTCTTGAGGCTTGGGGGTCCCTAGGTTAAGAAAAACACTAAGAGGGTAAAAAACTGAGTGAGATTTTCCATTGGTTCTGGCTTCTTCTCTCCAGATGCCCCTCCCCAAGCCCATAATGCAAAACTGTCAACACAAAATCCAACACCATGTGGTACAAGAGGAAATGGGCAGGAGGATGTTCACTTACTTGGAGAAGCAGGGTGCAGGGGAAGCTGTGGGAGCTATAGTGGTGAGGGCTGTTTGCTTGCCTATGAGAGAACATGAAGGGGATTAGCATATCTGCCACTTCGCATGAACTTTCCAGCTTAAGTGTCCCCAGGTTCCTCGCCCTGTCCGAGCAACCAGTGGAGCTCAATGAAGGGGGCTACAACTCTGCGAATGAAGAGAGCATCGTTTGTTAGATCCCAGATCCTTTAAGGTGGAAATTAGAACTGGAACTTAAAAAACCATCAGCTACACAAGTGAAAGAAAAGCCTGGTGGTTCTGTAGCCCCAGATGTCCCTTTGATAAAAAAAACAAAAACATCTCCTGGGTCTCCCTCAAGGATTTTAATAGGACTCCTAGGTAGATATGCTCCCTTGGATTTAAGCAGAGAATCCCAAGGCCAGAGAGTCAAATACCAAAGGTGAATCACAGAACTAGTGTTTCCCAAGGTCCTCGGGAATCTGACCTTGGCACCTGCTGCCTTATTTTGGTTTGTTCTTTTGTTTGCAGGCAAGTCAAAGGCAGCCACGGTGAGTTTTCCCAATACCTGCACCACCACCGGCGTGGGTAGTAAGAGAAGTAAACTAGATTTCCACAAACTACCTAACTGGTCTAATACCAAGCACAGAGACACCCACCCTTTACTCAAAATTTGGAGGATCAGACAATAGCCTCTGGTTCCCCTTTTCACCCCCCTGGGCGTTACTGCATCGTGAAATCTGATTCTTCCAAGTTCAGAAACGTCCCATTACGGCCCCTCAGCACACTTTCCAGTTTTTCCAGTTCATCTTAACCCGGCAGTGAGGCAGGTAATGGTTTCTGTCCTGAACTTACCAGTGTTGGAGTGACTCCCTCCCATGCTGTCTTCCCCTGAAAATAAAGAAGGAACCTCTGAGAAAGCCTGGAAAGGAGAGGCAGTGGAGTCCACTGTGATCTCAGTAGAAGAGCAGTAACAACGAGAGAGGCAAGTCGTGGGCAGGTGTTCTAGTGAAGTCAGTGGTCACGAACTTCATGTGGTGTGGTTGCCACAGCTCAGCAGCATCCTCAGCTTTGCAGGTCCAGAAATTTGATGTTATCAGGGCACCTAGAATTGACTGATTACTCCGGAACTAACTCCCACCAACCAACCCACAGGAGACTGATGTATAAACAGAAATGACACAAGGAGCGTGTTGCTGTAACGAGCAGCATTCTCTCAGAACCTCTAAGGAACCGAACTGAAACCATAATTTTGCTTGGCAAACATTGAACTGAAGCCAGGGTGGGAGAAGGTGAATGCGTGTTTTTAACACTTAGTGTCACTAGGTCTGACGCCTCTGCTTCCCCCTCCCCTGGCAAGTACTGGGCAAGCTTTAACAAATTTGCTGCTGGAGATCCTTCCTCTAGGCTCCATCAGACACTTCCGTTCACATGTTGTCTTTTCGAGTGAAAATAGCCTTGTCTAGGCTATGATTCTATTTGTTATGTAAAGTTTTCTATACTTTCCCGCTTTTATTTATTTGTTCCAAAAAGTACAAAGCGCTGAAAAGCAGAAAAGTAAAATCATCCAAACTCCCACTACCCATGGTTAATATTTTAGTGTATTTCTTTTTAGTTGCATTTCCATGAATTTTAAATCCCTTTTTAGTTTTTCTTTTTTCCAGTTTTATTGAGATATAATTGACATATCACATTGTATTAGTTTAAGGTGTACCAATTAATGATTTGACACAGATTTATTTGCAAAATGATCACCTCAATGAGTTCAGCTAACATCCATCACCTCACAGAGTTACAAATTATTTTTCTTGTGATGCCAATGTTTAAGATCTACTCTCTTAGCAACTTTCAAATATACAATACAGTATTATTAATTATAATCACCATGCTGTACATTACGTCCCCAGGACTTCTTTATCTTATAACTGGGTTTGTACCTTTGACCACCTTCACCCATTCCCCCGCCACATACCCCCACTCCCCTCACTCCTCTCTGGCATCTGTTCTTTCCATGTATGAAGTCAATTTTTAGAGATTCCACATATAAGTGAGACCACAGTGTTTGTCTGTCATGCATTTTTAAAAGACTAGTTGAGATATTTCTTCATACATCCTGTTTTTTAAAACTAAGCCTTTTATCATTGGCATTCTCCCATGTCACTAAAAACTTTCCATAAGCATTTTCATGGCGACAGTTCTTTCTGTTACAACTATGTACTATTATTTGCTTAACCAGTTCCCTGTTGATAAACATTGTTTCCACTTTTATTATTATTTATATTTTATTATTTTATAATAAAATAAAACAGTTCTAGGTGGCCACAATTTTACTTCATATTAAGTAAACCCATGATAAGAATTTTTGGCTCTCCTGTATCTGTTGTATTTTAAGGTAATTCATTTAGACAACAAATACCATCAATTCTTTGTTTAATTGTTCAGCTCTCAAAAGTGAAGCAACTTCCAAGTCCTGGGGACATGGGGAGGGTTGGGAGCCGGACCTCACTGCCATGGGCCAGTAGCAGCAGCGACATTATATCAAGTGCCTTACAATCAGACCAAACCTTTTCAGATCAGCATGTGGGATAATCAGGAAGGCACCCACAGGGAAACCGGGTGAGAACCCTGAGCCAGGGGAACAGAAAGCACACCACGCACAGCAGAATCAGCAGTGGTAATGGCTTGTCAGCACTTTTTTGTTCCTGTTTTCATTCAAAAGTCAACAAGGCTCTTTGTAAAGCACCATAAAATATTTATATAGCATTTTAAATATACTGAAATAGGTGTTTGTACTAAATAGAGCATGAACTTAACCTATAAACTTATACTAGACCTTACCCCTGGGGAGGTGGAAGAGAAGATTGTAGGTTTCTGTAAAATCTTAACCTTCACATCAGTGGCTCAGAATTTGCAACCATCCCAAAGAAATGCTACCACAGCCACCTTGAATAAAAGTTGGGCCAACTCACCCTGAAAGACAAAACCATCACACGACACCACGGGGCAATAGCTCCTTACAGATCCAGGCCGAGAAGAGAAGGAAGCACATTTCCCTTTAAAAACAACACTCACACACTCGACAGAAGCATAAATTAAAATAGAAACAATGCCATACATACCTTTTCACATTCTGGCTGGCACCGAAGAATCTTCTCAATTGCCATTAAATTCACCAACTCAATGCAGACATTAAAACACAACCCTTTCCCCACCAAATACAGTTTAAAAGAAAGAGAGGACAGAAACCCAATGAGATGACATTTTCCTTTGGTGAATGATTATTTTGTCTAAATTAAAAGCATGGTGTAAATGCACTTACCTTTAAAGAAAAAGTCCAGTCACGAGATGCCACGGTCTAAAACTGAACTTTTGCTTCCGTGGCTACTCCTATTTTTCAGAAATGATGAAATACCCAAAATAGCCACTGTCAAGCTATGTGTTGCAAATCAACTAAACTCCAGGGCAGACTTCCTCTTTGAGGCCAACACCATAGTTTTTTTAATCTCATAAGCACAGAATTTTTGTATCTTTTGATACATGAATGTCAAGTACAAGGGATAAGACAAGTTTATTTCTAATTAAGTACATGTCGAGTAACCACACACCAGATATGGTGGGGGGGTCACAGCAATGTGACCTGATCATTGTCATCAAGCATCTTACTGTGTCATTTATTCTAACCCTGGAGTTGAGGTGAAGAAAAAAACAAAACAGTTGTGTTAGAGTTAAGTGCAGACTTTAAATGTGTTAAGAGCTTGGAGAGCCCTTCAAAGAGAAGGGAAATCATTTACAAACACCTATTCATAAATGTACTCATTAAATAAATATGATGGGTCCTACCGCAGGCTGAGTACTGCGAGTAATTGAGAGCAAAGCAGAGAAGTTCCTCAGGAAGCCTGCCATCTAATTGAGAAGAGACTCGATAAACACATGACTAATCCTGGGGACAAGCAGCAGAATGCCATGCTCGAGGGTAATGGGAGGATTGTTAAGTAACATGGGTGCCTGGCCAGGCCTCTGCAAGGAGCAGACAAGCACTGTGACAACCAGAGGACTCGACAGCTGGCCAGGCAGAGCGCCTGGGGGAGGCAGAGGGCAACTCACAGGTTTATTGAGAGGGAGGAGCTAGCAGAGCTGGCAAAGTCTGGCGAGGCTGCATGCCCAGACCTGGGGCTGGGGCCTGGGCCTGGATGGGGTTTGGATGGAGGGAGAAAGAAATCACTGTGTGAGGAGGGCCCAGGCCCAGGCCTCATTGCTGGCATTCAAGCGATATACTTCTGAGGTATCAACAGTTTAAGGGTGGGGCATTTTTAAGGGGTGGGAAGCAAAAGCAGTTCCAAAGGTGGGTTTCAGCCAGATTGTGGAGGTCTTTCAATCTAAGCAATAAATATTATGTTAAGTGTTAATAAGGAACCACTAAAGGGGTTTGAATTGGGATATAACAAACATGACCCTTAAGGGAGACTCCACCCCATCACATCATAACTTGTGGGTAGAGAGGGGTGAGGAAACAAGTTAGGAGAGTAGGGCAATATTTTAGGCATTTAACAAGGGCATGAGCAGCAGGGATGAGGAGGAACCCACTGGAAACCTGTCATAAGATTGGAAGTTATGACTTGGTAAGTCCATGATTATGTCAAGGTTTTGAATCTCAGTGGCTGAGAGAATTCATTTTTTCACCCACTTCACAGTGAACAATTATTTTGTGCCATGTGTGAGTCTAAGTTCTGAGGATATAACAGTGAGCAAAATACGGCCTTTTCCTGCCTTCATGGAACTCTCATTAATTAAAGGAAGCTGTGACCAAAGAAATGGTAGCAATTCCATGAGCTGTGAAGGAGCAGGCCCCTCAGGCTGTGTATGTCTGTGACACAGGGAACCAGGGTGGGCTTCCTGGAGGAAAACAAACCAAAATCTGAGGTGTGAGTTGGAGTTTCACTAGACCCGGGGGGGTGGGG